AAAAAAAAAAAAAAAAAATCACTCTAAGTTCATTTTTATGCTTTTTGTTTGTTTAGTTTTTTGTTATGTAGTTCACTTGATCTATGTAGTCCAAGTTAGCCTCAAACTTGCAGTGATCCTACTGCCTTAGCCACTGAGTGCTGGGATTACAGACGTGGGTCACCATGTCCAGCTTCTATGTTCATTTTTTTTTTGGTACCGGGGATTGAACTCAGGTCCTTGCACTTGCAAGGCAGGCCACTGCCACTGAGCTAAGTCCCCGGCCCTCTACGTTCATTTTTAATGCTGTTTTACATCCTAGATGAGCACAATGCCTGGACTCCCTACCCGGCCCTGCTTTTATGATATTGATTTAGACCCTGAAACCGAACAGGTGAATGGACTGTTTTAAACAGGTAAGTTGTTACTGGGAAAGAGTTTTGTTTTTTCCTTCTGTACTATGTTCATGAATCATAGGGCTCCAACGGTAGCTATAAAAATTCAGATTCTAATGCTTTCAAAACCTTTTTTTTTTTTTGGTATCGGGGATTGAACTTGGGTCCCCTTGTGCTTACAAGGCAGGCAGCGGCACCACTGAGCTAAATCCCTGCCTCTTAAAACATTTCTGATTTCACTAAAGGGAGGGAGTTAGCAGTGAGCGTGAATGAAATATTTCTTTTTTACTACATCTTTGGAAGCAAAACAAGGCTTGTCACAGGTTGGCATTGCAGGGGAGAAAGCTGCTATCTGTTGATCCATGGAGGACCTGCAGCCAGGGGCTCCCTTTGCAGAACCCCAAGAGTCAGGGTTCAGAGCCAGTGGCACCCTGGAGGCCAGAACAGCTAGAGGTCTGTATAGATGGGTCTACACAGACAGTTATTAAGGCAAGAGTTGAGTAAATGTCCCAGAAAAGAGAAGGTAATAGGACCAATCTAGAGGTCCTAAGTGAAAGGGCCTCAAATACCCACCACAATGAATGAGTCATCCTTAGACACAGCCAAATGAAATTTTAAAAACACTCAATATGAAAATTCTAAGCATCCTTCTCCAAAGAAGGAAAAAATGGCTTGCCTGCACAAAAGTATGAAAGACTGAACCAGTGTCTTCTCAGCAGTAAGAGTACTTTAGACAATGGGAAATGTCCTGCACATTCATAAGGGTGACCTTCAGCCATATCAGTCTGGGTGTTTTTAAGCAAGCAAAGGCCACCCCCACATCTCTTCTGGGAAGTTGTTTAGCAGTGTACTGTAGCAAAATGGAGATGTAAGTCAAGAAAAAAGGGAGATGCGTGTCGTAAACTGCCTCCTGATTTGGACAGTAACTAAGGGGAGTTCTGACAGCTGTGCAAATGTCCTAGAATTACAAATGCAGTATGCAACAAGAGAGGGAGGGCTTAAGACCAGAAAGACCTAGGAAAGACAAGGGTAACTACCGCATGGCGCTACAGAACAGAAATTCATGTGTTGTGTGAGAAGGTGAAGGTCCAGAAGATAGCAAAATGTTGTGACCTTATAAGTCATGGTGAGGATGGTAAGAGAGACTCTGAGGTGATCCAGGGGTACACTGTTCTTCCAGAGGGCGTATGTGGTGTAGCTTTTTTTTTTTGTACCTGGGATCAAACTCGGGTCCTTGCACTTGCGAGGCAGGTGGCAGAACCACTGAGCTGAATCCCCAGCCTGAGCATATGTGGTGTAGGAAATGCAGGCCTGTCTGATCTTGAACAGTACTCCCCTAGCCTTCATGTGAGTGCCATGCACTGGTGTCAAGTCCACTTTTGGACCTGTGTTGGAAGAGGATGTAAATGTGAAAAGCTTCAGCAGTGTGAGCAAGGAATGATGCATTCTGGAAGGGAAGAAGAAATATTCTGAGCTTAGAGAAAACATTTATTTCTTTGCTTTTCCTTCCAGATCATCCATCTTGAAGAAGCCTCTTTGGCCAGACTGTTAAGGCGCACTGTGGAGAGTGCAGAGAAGGCAGACAGTGGCCCAAAGATCTCCTGAAATCAGTAGTGGGGGTTTCCCCGAAAGCCTTCTTTAGTTTTGATTCTCATGATCATGTATAATTTAACATAAATCATGCAGATGTCTATTTACTTTAGTGAAATTTCACAGAATAAAATGAAATACTTTTGCTATTTTGGTGTTGAACTACAAACCGTATTATTGATAGGCTGCGCTGCGACGTCACTGCCACACTACATGGGCCCATCTGTAGGGCCGCCCCCTGGGGCTGAGGAGCAACCTGCAATACATACTTCATGATGCGTTATGCTTACAGGGGAAATGTGTACATGCTTGTGTATCTCCAGAGGACACATAATTAGGGGACCTGAGCGGGGGGAATCAGGATGGGGGAGGACTTGCCTTTTTATTTAGTACGTTTTTCTATATTATCAGCACTTTCCCTTCCCAGAAGTACTCCATTTACGAGATTTGTCTTGACCCTCTTAGAATTCTCATTTCTTAAGGGTTTTTGTTTTCGTTTGCTACCGGGGATCTAACTTGGGACCTTGCGCTTGCAAGGCAGGCGGCAGCACCCCTGAGCTGAATCCCTGGCCCTAGAATTCTCATTTCTGTTAAATTCTTTAAAGTCCTCAAGAAGGACATGTATAGCACATCCCTACAGAATGTATGTGGGTATTCCTGAAATAGTCCCACTTCTCCTCCTGTCCTACCCTCATCTAGGCTCTCTCTCCCCGTGTCCCCTCCCTTTCTCCTCCGTCTTTCTACGTTGGACCCTCCTAGCAAATACCGCATTGCTGCTGCCGTCCCTGCCAAATGCTGCTGGGAGCCAAGCTGCCTTCACTCCTCCAGGGGCCCTGCTTTCACTGTTTGGGCCCCTGGGCTCCCGTCAGTGTTGTAATCCTGTCAGTTTTGACTTGTAAGAAATGATGGCAGTCTTGGCGCTGTGCAGCCAAGGGTTGGGAGGGCCTTCTGCCCCGCTTCTGCTTCCACCTGGGCACCAGGGAGATGGGCACTACCAGTGCCCCCAAGGGCAGCTGTGTGGATGAGGTGGGTACCGTGCCTGATACACTGAGTGCTCAGTAGTGTCCTTGTTCCAAGGTGTCCTCCGGGTCCACTGTTTCTGATGTGATGCTTAATATCCTATAAAACTGGACTGGGACATGCTGAGTTCAGTCTATAAACAGTGGAAGGCAGGAAGCAGACTTGTCAGGCATGCTGACTTAGAGACCATCTTATCTAACATAGGCTTTCTCCTACAGGGAATTAAACTGTCAGTGCTGGTAGGAATGGTGAACACAATTGGAAAGAGTATTTGGAGATTTACAACTTGTGTTTTCTACTTAGTGTGTCTCAGAGATCTTACTTCGTCAGCGGTTGGAAATTGCCTAGCTTCTTATGGGTGTGTGGTATGAAATAGTTCTCTGTCCTCAGCTGGTGGACACTTAATGTTTCAGTTTTTGCTATTACCAATAATGTTTTGGTGTATAAATTAGGCATGGTGCTGCATTCCTATAATCCTAGCAGTTGGGACGCTGAGGAGAATCTTGAGTTTGAGGTCAGCCTGAGCTACACAGGGAAACCATGTCTCAACAAATAATGTAGCAGTGAGTATAATTTAGAAAATATATCTCAGCTGTATCTTTTTCTTCTGTGGAAGCATCTGTAGGATAAGTTCCTAGTAATGGTATTGCTCAGAGGGTGGCCTCTAGCTTCAAAATGGGATCTGGGGTCAGGGGTTTAGCTCTGGTTCCACCACCTGCTTCGCAAGTACAAGGACCCAAGTTTGATTCCTGGTACCAAAAAAAAAAAAAAAAAAAAAAGGAGCTGATGCTTGGTATAGAGAGAAATAATAGAACAAATGTTTAAAGGTTTATGTCTCTCTCCACTTTACAGAGGGAGATGACTGCCAGAGCCAGAGCCTGTGGGATGAGCTTGCCAGGCTGTCTGACCCCAAAGCCTCTGCTTTTTCTCATGAACAGCCTCCTAGAAGTCTGATAGGTGGTGATCTGTGCTGTGCCCCATCTCTCTAGGACGGGTTGACAAAGGTGGAAGGAGAGGAAAAAGAAACAAGGAGGTTAGGAAGGCTACGGAACAATCCTGAGGGAGTGGGTGTTGTGGAACTGATTCTTCAATCTTTGACAAAGAAAATGTGTCACATATACAAGCTTACAAAAGCTCTTTCCATGGTGACAGCATAAACAGCAAAGTAACTGCAGGCCAAGTGAAGGTTTCTGTTAGAAGACCCACTGGAGCATTTGTGCCTGCAGTGCCTGCTAGTGTCACCAGAAAAGGTCCAGTGCCTTTACCTTAGAGCTAGGAGCCCCTCTGTCACTGGCTCCTTGTGCCCATTCGTACCCTTCCTTGGGCTACTCATGCCTTCCCTCCCAAATCAGTCTTGTTTTGTTTGGTGCTGAAGACCAAACCTAGGGCCTTGTGCTTTCTAGGCCAAGTGCTGTATTGCCATACTAAGTCCCCAATCCCAGGATTAGTCATGTTGCTGATAAACAGCCTGTGCCTTCTCTGAGCTGCACCACAGGGGCTGTCACTGCATCAATGCTGTATATATACTCTTAATTCACGAGTGACAGCAGCAGTCATGAGCTGCCAAGTAAAGCAGATTGCATCCAAATTTCAGCTGGGTTTGTGCTGGCTCCTTGCAACCCTTATGGTGCCCACAAACAGATCAAACCATCGAAGAACTGGAGCTATTGGTTAATTTAACTGTGTCAGAGGAAGGAGTTGGAAGCCTTTGTCTCAAAGTCTCTGAAATGTAAGAGTCATTAGGAGTTAGGAGGCATTTTTGGTAGCTACAGGCCTGGACTGTGGGTGGACAGGGACCAGGATGGGAGAAATCAAATAACCAGTTGTTCAGCTATATATGTAAGCTATTTAATTGGCAAACTAGCTAGTGATATTAGTAAGATAAGCTGTAAGTAGGGTAGTTTCTTATCAGACAGGAGACATTTATAGCTCATTTCCTATTATATAATGCAAAGCTACTAATGGAGTGGTAGACAATGACACGGGTAATGGCTTCAACAGTCTTATCTGCCACTTGAGGGTATTTAGGGATGACAGGTTTCATGCATTATATTTTTAAAAACATCTCAAGGAAAACCACAGTGCACTTTTGTATTTATAGTACTATACTGTGTATGTGTGTGTGTGTGGAGATTAGGATGAGTTATTTGTAATATGCCACAAAGAAATCTGTTGTAATTTGCCCTTCAAATATAAGATAAATTTACAGCTTAGCTCAAATTTGCCTTTTGGCTTGCGTTTTTTTTTGGACTGGGGATCAAACTCAGGACCCTGTGCTTGTGAGGCAGGCAGGTGCGGCACCACTGAGCTAAATCCCTGGCAGATTTTTTTTTTTTTTTAAGAAAAGCAGGAAGGCTAAGATCTAAGTCATTAAAGTGACCTTTACAATTTCTATGTCAGCCTGGATAGCCCTTGTGCTTTCTAATAAGGCAGCTGTTCTGCCCTGTCGACAGCTAGATAAACTCGTCTTACTTTTTGCTTGCAACTGCTGCAGACTCCCAGATCTGCTAGATTTGAAAGACCCTAGAGTTTAAGAGTGAGTAATAACATCTCAGCTGCTGATTCATGTCATGGGTCTCTTGGCTTGTTTAAACTTCAGTGTGGCAGAAACAGGATCTGCAACCCGTATGGGGAGATGTAGGTGATTTTTCTTGACCTGTGTTTGCTGGATGAACAAAAGTAAGTCCCAGAACACAAACACCCCCTTCTGGGGTTAAAGCAGGGCCTTCACATTGAGCTTCATCTCTACCCCTTTTTTATTTTGAATCTGGGGCTTGTGAAGTTGCCCAGGCTGGGCTTGAACTTGCAATCCTCCCTCCTCAGTCTCCCAGAATGCCAGGGTTGCATTCTTAATTAAAACTAAAGTGGATATTCCTGTTGTATAGCCCTTGTCTCTTAACTTCCATCTGTAAATTTAAGATCTTGACTACTGGGGTGTAGCTTTGTGTCCCAAGAGTTCCTCCGTTAATAACCCTTAGTGGAGTAAGTCTAGAGAGTCATACAAAGGTAACATGTCTTCCTAGAAAAATATCCAAACATGGATACCAGGGATTGACCTTCCCATTGAAGAAAGGTGACGAGTGCCGCTGCTTCTCAGGAATTCTTCCACCTTAGCCCAGGATTCACCTGGCAGGGGAGGATGGTGGAGGAACCTTGCTGGACCTCTGCGCCGGAGCGCGCGAGGTCTCATAGCAACCCTTCACGTCGGCACGAGATCCTGCCTTAAGTGGACAGAGGAGTGCTGCTGTCCACCGTGGCCGGCCCCTTGTTTAGATAAAGCTTCAGAAAAATGCATGAGAAAACGACCTAAACCGCCCGGAAGGAGACAACGAGGGGCTTGTGCGCTTTTCTTCGACTGGATCTGGAACAGCGAGGGCGCCCTCTTCTGCTCTCTACCTCGCTTAATGTAGGACGGGTAAAGCAGGCACCTGGCGAACATGGACAACAAGTAAGCTGCTACTTTTGGAAATATGTAACAGAAGAGGAATGCGGCTGCATTCGGTACCCTTTCTCACCCTGTTGGCTTGGATGCGGCTGCTCCTGCAGACCACCGAGTGAGCGCGCCTCGTCTGCACTTGCTACAAACCGGGATCACCGAACCCACTCCTGGGAAAGTTTTGTTTCTGGTCCGATTCGTGTACGCAATTTTCTCTCCAAGGGACGTGTCTCTGCAGTTTCGAATCCCCGGACCCCTCCCCATCTTCCGGCCTTGCTCTCGGTGGTCGCTCCTCCCTTGCCTGCCCCGTGAGACCCGCACCGGGGATCAGGAGGGACCGGGGAGGATGGAGTCTCCGAAGCGGCGCAGTTTGCTGCAGGTGGGTCCCGTGA